AGATGTTATGTATGGACAAGAAAGACAGACCAGATCCTTATTCCCAGAGTGTATAGAATTCCTGTACCAAGACAAAAAGAGCTTTACTACATCGGAGCCACAGGGAGGTCATTAAAAGGAAGATTAAAAGAACATAAAAGAAAAGTAAGAACAAGCAACCAGCCACTGCACTAGCAACGTATATTATAGCAGACCCAACAGAGGTTATAGTGAAATGGGAACAAGCAAAAATAATACAAAAGATTCAAGACAAGAGACACCTCAAATATGCAGAGGCATGGCAAATACAAAAGACCAAGCAGGCAAGACAAATAAGATTATAAAAGACAATTAAAATATTTTTAAGTATAAATTTTGTTAAAATAATTTATTCTTTTATATAAATCTGGAAGACTAAGATAAGTTAACAACTTTAGAAGATTTGGTTGCAAGCAGATTAATTTAATTTTTTCTGCCTTTAGCAGGTTGAATAAATGTCCTAACCGATAATGCATTGACCACTTAAAAATGTAATGTTTACCTGTACAGAAAATATAAGAAATTTTGCTTATCTTTAGGGATACATAATACATTGCTTCAACAAAGTATTTTATTTTATGAAATTTGTAATTTTTTTAATACCATTTATAAAAAACTGTCCTAATTCAAGTTTTACTTTTGGGAGTTAATATCATCTGCATTTTTATGGCCATGCATCTTCTGTTATCAAAGCTACATGGAGAATTGTCCAAAATTTATATTTTATTAAACTAATTTGTTTATTAAAATATAAATTTTGGACAATTCTCCATGTAGCTTTGATAACAGAAGATGCATGGCCATAAAAATGCAGATGATATTAACTCCCAAAAGTAAAACTTGAATTAGGACAGTTTTTTATAAATGGTATTAAAAAAATTACAAATTTCATAAAATAAAATACTTTGTTGAAGCAATGTATTATGTATCCCTAAAGATAAGCAAAATTTCTTATATTTTCTGTACAGGTAAACATTACATTTTTAAGTGGTCAATGCATTATCGGTTAGGACATTTATTCAACCTGCTAAAGGCAGAAAAAATTAAATTATTTTTTGCAGTTAATGTCTTTTGCCCTAATTTTTGTTAGTCTTCTCTTTTTAAATTTTCAGGTATTATTTACGGAAATTAGGCAGTTTGAATAGAAAGACAGCATTATTAATTTGCTGGCAATGCTGTCAGTGCCCTCAACAGTGTCCACTTAGTTTCAACAAGTCACGTGGAGCCTGGAGATAGGGTAGGTGGGTGTTCCCTCCTCACACTGCCACAACCCAGTTGTTCATCTCCTTAGACTTACACTTATTTATAATTGCCTATATCCATATGTATAAAAAAATCAGATCATAAATAAATTCGTTACTGTTTACACCTTACAGTAGTTAACTCATGAAAACACTGTTCATACACCTCCATCGAATTAAAGAGATCTTGGCTGTGTTCAGATTCTAGCAAATTTTGCCCAAATATTCAACGATTAGAAGAAATCCTGTCAACAAGCTGTCAAAAAATAATGTTTTTTTCTAGAGATGAGGAGTCAGCAGAAAAATACATGACTCCTGATTCAGTATTTTTTAAAACTGACTCTGACTCCCATAAAAAGATACAACACCTGACTATCCATCCATGATTTCCTCCTTCAAAATGCACCTTTCTGTAGTATACCATTTCAGAAGCTTGTTAACTGTTTTCTTTAGAAAGTTGCAAGATATTTCTAGGCTGATCATTTGCATTGTGTACTTCATCTCCCTTCTGGTGCTTTTGCAAATCTAACTTCACACAGGGAGCCACAGGGCACATTATTTTTTGTTGCAATAGCTGCATTTTTAAAATTTTTTAGGTCCACCTGTGCCAATGGCACACTTCTAATCTTCATCCTTAGCTTCAATAATAATATTAAAGTTCTGAATATATTTTGTCATTTGAAAGACATTTAGGCATTTTTGAATTTAGGAAATGAAGTGACTAGATTGACTAAAAAATAAAAGAATTAACAATAATAAACACAATATGTTGGCCTCAATTCCTCACCACCCGGTCACCCCTTTGTGGGCCTGGCTGAACCAATAATGGTCTTGCTAAGAGAGACTATCTTACTGCTTCTTAAAAAAAAATAAAAATACTTTTTAATGTTGTCTAGATGTTCCCCCAAAATTTATAGCAGTATGTAGCCTATAAAATCCAGATATTTTTATTTCATCTTTTACATATTTTGTTTCAATTAGAGTAGGCAACACTGAAACTCAAGCCCTGGTCACACTATGCAATTTCTAGCAGCACAGGTGACTGCAACTGCAACAAGTGTGAGTCGTTCATGTCTTCTCGTGATCACACACTGTTTGTTGACAATGCAACTCTGAAACACACGACCCTGTAATAAACCAATAAAATTACAGTAGCTTGTATCCATTTCTGGCTAAAATGCCCCCATTATGCCACTGCCCACCACAATCTGGGCATGGCATTGAATGTTAACCTAGATAACATTAGTACACTGCTTCCTATATATGAACCATCAACTAACATCACTCCCTGCCACCTTGTGTTAGGATGCCAAAATGCCAAAAAGAAATTGTGTGTTTACTGATGAATTAAAAATGAATTATACATTTTTTAAAAAAGTTTCTAATCGTATTACAAAGTGAAATGTGAACTGTGCTTTTCAGGAACTCGTGGTGGGTGTTCGGATATTAAAAATCACTTGAAATGCGCAAAACACAAGGCAAGCCTAGTAGCAGCAGAAGGAACTTCTTCAACTAGAGACCTACGTCACTCAAACTGGACATTTCCAGTGACCAATGAGTGACAGCTCGTTAGAGAAAGAGCCTATTAGTGCTAGTCTCTCCATATAAACATTACAAGAAGAAGTAGCTTGTTTTTGACAACTTTCATGAGTTTGCCAACATTTTATGTTCTACTTCAGAGTATTTACAGAATTTTAGCCACTTTTCTTATTAAAATAGCAAGGGATATGCAGTTCCTTTTCTGGAATGAATAAAAGAGAAAAGGCAATTATTTTGATAAAGCTGGCAAGAATACACGAAAATATAAAATCTCCGATAAAATGAAGAATTAAAATCCCACAGGTATTCGTGAGCCTGAATAAGCTCAATTAATCTCAATTCTGTAAAAGTATTAATCCTCTAACTATCCGCCATGATGATGAACTATTTTCAATGTTGTCACTGTATGACGTGGCACAAAAGTGTTCATTGATTGGATGTGTGTTTGAAATTGTCACGAGTTAGAAGAAACTTTTTGTTTCTAGTTGCGGTTACAGTCGTGCTGGTTTTTGAGGGGATTACTAGTTAACGGGAACAGCCATCACAGTTGTAGTCACCTGCATGGCTGGAAATCGCATAGTGTGACCAGGGCTTTACACTAACCACGTCATTTTTGCACATGTCCTATCATAGACGAGTTCAAATTGCTAGTCAGCATTTGCAATTACAGTAGTGTCGTTTATCCGAAAGAATTCCAGTTGGCAAATTTAAATTTTTGCTAGTGCCATGGCACTGCAATCTTTGGCTATGTCTTGGGCTACTAAAATGTTTTACGTTTTTGATACTAAATTAACTTCTGAAGTATAATTTTTTGTTGTTTTTATATTTTTCAATATATTTAATTTGTTTGTACAAAATAAAGAAAAAATTTTTTAACGATAATAACAATACAATATGACTATTGTATCGTTATTATTGTATTGTATCGATTATTATTTAAAAAAGTTTACGTTAGGCTTAACATTGACGAAAATTCAACGCAAAGCGACACGCAACAGAGAAAAATTTCAGGATGGGATAGGTTAATATATTTTTTCGCACATAGTCGATTATCCGAAAAATAAGTTATCTGAACAACTCCAGTCCCCAATTGATTCGGATAAACGATGCTCTACTGTATTTTGTATTGTACATTAAATCAATTTAATCTCCAAAATGCCAAAAAGAAATCGTGTGTTTACTGATGAATTAAAAATGGATTATACATTTCTGAAAAAAGTTTCTAATCGTATTACAAAGTGAAATGTGAACTGTGCTTTTCAGGAACTCGTGGTGGGTGTTCAGATATTAAAAATCACTTGAAATGTGCAAAACACAAGGCAAGCCTAGTAACAGCAGAAGTAACTTCCTCAATTATATTAGAGAGGTTGAGGCAGACGTTTTAAACGTGTAAACGTGTAGGTCGGACGTTCGGCGCCGCTTTCCAGTAAGCCTAAAAGTTTGACAATGGTGTTTGGATAGTCGGTGGAATCACGCTCGACATTCCAAACACCATCGTCAAACTTCTAGGCTTACAGGAAAGCGGCACCGAATGTCCGTCCTACACGTTTAAAACGTCTGCCTCAACCTCTCTATTGTCATATTTTAATAATACCAATTTATTTTCTGTTGTATTTTTTCAAAATTGTCCAAATTTGAGAAAAAAAATGCATAGGTATATGTCAGAGTAATTTGTGGGAGTATATCTCGCGAAGGGTCACATGTAGAGTATTGTTCTTTTGACTTTTTTGTTCCATGAGTATACTCTATAGATCTGTTAAGATCCCAAACGTATCCATCACGGCTTGAATTGAGCCCATCTTATTATTTTGTCCTATTTTGTACTTCCTTTTTACATTTCCTTTAAAAAAATCAATTTACAATGATGTTAATTAACATTACAAATCATTGTTAACAAAAGAAACACGTCTTGTTAATAGCAGTATACTAGTATCAATACCTAATTAATGAAAAACTTTACTATTTAAAACAAATAATTTAATCAATCGCATCATATCCGATAATCCATACTTTTTAAATTTTACGAAATTTATATCGTCATTCAAACATAGAACCAAACATATGACTGATAGCAATGGATCAGCCTAATTCCGTAAAAACTAAAATTATAAAAACGTTATCTAGAATTTATATAATAAAATTCTTCAGTTATTTTCAATGTATTATATATGTTAAAACAGGATTAATAAGATTAATAATTACCTCGTTTAGACATCTTTCAGGTTAAAGCAAGACCAATCCACGCGCAACGACACGACGTTAAACAATTCTCAATTTTCGCCAAAATATAGCCAACGTTGAGAAAATAAATAGCCAAATATTATCCTATTTTATTAAAGACATTTTATCAGCTAATAAAAAGTAATTTTAGTACTAAATATAAATAATTTGATTTGTAAATAATTAAAATAAATTTAATTCTTTTTTTTTAAAGTTTTGCTATTTATACAATAGGAGACAGAAGTTTTAAACGCGAAAACGTGTACGTCGGACGTTTAGCGCCGCTTTCCTGTAAGTCTAGAAGTTTGACAATGGTGTTAGTCGAGCTTGATTCTACTGACTATCCAAACACCATTGTCAAACTTCTAAGCTTACAGGAAAGCGGCGCTAAACGTCCGACGTACACGTTTTAGCGTTTAAAACTTTGGTCTCAACCTCGCTATTATTTATACAAGACAACGCAATACACGAGCGATCTGCCGAAAGAACGCTTCTCTGGCAAACTTCTTTTTATGAGAAACTAGTCCCTTCTTAGATGTTAAGGTTAAGGGCACACTTGAACGGACGGACAAACAAAATGGGTAGAGAGAACGGAACAAAAATGCGGCCTGCATTATAAGTTATGGACGTATAGAAACTAGGTGGAAGGGCGGATGGATTGCATAGAAAAAAATCCGTCTCAAATTCTCGAGCAGACAAGTCCGTCTGCTTCGAATCGACAAGGTCAATATCCAGGTTACCGGCTGTCGAAACCTCTTGGCACTTTTGACGGGCGGTAAGCCGAGTGGTTAAGGTGGCAATCTACTGCTCTTGGGGACCAGAGATCGGATCCAGAGGAGTCGAAAAACCCCACGAATTTTTATGGTAGTTCGTCCGGATAAATCGAGCCCCGTTTCTCACCACCCAGATGCCCATTATGTACTTGGCCGAATCCAAAATGGGCTTTCTAAAAGTGCCTCTTTGCGCCCACAGAGAGTAAAGAGTTTTAAAAATCTCCATTCATTAAATCTCTTTTTTGAGATTTGAGCTTTTTTGAGCTTTGTCATTTATGCCATTTCTTTTATCATGGCATGCGCAAATTTAATTTCTGTAGTGCAAAGCTACGAAAAATTATATAGTTTACAACATTCACTTCTAATAATAATCAGCTAGGTAACACTAATTCTTCACGGACGTTACTTATACTGAAAAAATGCCTTGTCTGAATACTTTCATTCTTTTGCTGTAAATTCCGCTTGATCCGCCATTGCAGTGCAACTATAAGTGAGCATATACCGATATACTCACTTTCTCCGTACGCTACACGTCCACAGATCAAGTACGCTCTTACCGTTGGATACGAAGAAGAAAAAACCCAAATGACTGTGTGAACTTTACAGGCCATCAACCTGTTGATCAGTGAGGAATCCAGAACCAATTATGAATGTTCCAGGGCTGTGGAGTCGGAGTCGTGGAGTTTTGATGTTTTAGCCGGAGTCGGAGTCGTCAAAATATCCGCCGACTCCGACTTCTTTTTACTTACCAACTTGTTATGTATATAAAACGGAAAAGTATTGGAATTCGTGTCTAATTTGACCCTCCAAGTTTTTTTTTTTTTTTGCAAATCTACACATTTGGAGACCTCCCGAACCCTTCAAAAAAGTCAATAAAGGGGAAAAATTCGCGCGTGTGTGTGTTGGCGTCTAATTTGTTTAATTTTTTTATTTTCTGTTCTGAGATATTAAACAATATCTCAGAACGGGTAAAGTTTAAGAAACGAAATATGGCACTGTAGCTTGCGTATAAATGGGCATTAATACACTACTATTCAATTTTGGTTCTTAATTAAAGGTCGACAGGGTGAAGACATAAAAGTGGTCATGTGTCATATCTCTTAATGAATATTTTACTCGTTATTAGCGTTCAAAATTTAATAAAATAAAATAAAACTCGTCTTTACTCTCAAAGTAAGCTTTTTTTGCCATTTTATAATAGTACAGTAAAACCCGTTAAAATGTTCTCGCTTAAGATGTTAGAATGTATATGGGGACAAGATTTAGTTCAACCACTTTGACGCTAAATAACTAACTCCTGTGTTAATTTAAACCATCTGACTCCGATTCTGACCACTCTGACCACAGAAATTATTAGGCTTCAAACAGGGTGAACGAAATCATGCCCCCCACACACAGTCTAACATCCACACATATAAAAAAAACCTCGAATATTTTGCATGTCTCGAAATTTCAAGGTGTCCTGAGTCCAAAAATGTAAAAATTTGGGCGGGGTCGTTTTTTGACCGAGCGCTACACTTTTCCTCTGTTATATATAACAGCCGGAAAAGTAAGGCTATGTACACATTAGGCGTTTTGCGTTGCGTTAAACGCGCGTTAGCAGCGTACACACCGCGCGTTAGCTCGGCGTTCGACGAGCGTTTAGTGGGCCATTCCCCATAAAAGTCCTCCCGGAAGGCATTGTTTCCCGCGCGCATATATAGGCCGTTCGATACGGCTGGCTCTTCGGTCGCATAGCGATCAATAAAAGTCTCTCGGAGAAAAAGCATTTAAGGCAGTAATCTCCATATTAATCAATCGAATAGAATAGAGCGTTTAGTGAAGCGTTAGCACTGGCTCAGTTTGGAAATGGACGTGAAAGTAATTGCTTGTGTGTGCCTCCTCCATCGTCGCTATAAAAGACGATGGCAGAGGCAAAGAGAATTTTGAGTGCACCCAATATTACGAGATAGACTGACGCATGGAATGTTTCTGACGTTGTATCCAAAACTAAGGCAATATGAACCCAAATTGTTTAATTCTTTTAGAATATCTATAAAATCATTTGCCGATGGTTGGTCTCTTTCAGATTTCATCAGTAAATAGATCGGTATCGAAATGATCGTTCTCCATTTCGGCCAACGTACGTCCACTCTACCCGAAAGCGCGCGATCGAATGTACAGTACAACAACATGGCAGCACATATATCGAATACATATTTATATATTACTTAGAGAAGTCTTTTAACTTTGGAATAAAAAGTTTCTACGCTCTATTTTTATTACAACTCTATTTATTGAATATTTTATTCTGAGGTCACGTGATGACATAAGAATTTCCGGGTCTCTTTCGGTAACAAGTCTGCCCCTAGTCGGAGTCGGTAGATTTTTACGCGACTCCACAGCCGTGGAATGTTCAGTAATTTAATCCACTCGGCCATTGTGGACATTGTTTTGTTAGGGATTTCAAATTTTATAATACTCTGTATAACCATTAATCGATAATATTATTTTCTTGGTGGGAGATAGAGGGGATAGTGTGTCATATCCCTTGCTATTTTATTTTACTGTCATATTTTACTCTTTATTAGCATTTACAAGTTTTTATAAAACTCATTCCTATCTCCGAAATTAAGCCTTTTGCCATTTTATAATAATTAAAAATATAAAAAGTTTTTTTTAGTAAGATATCAAAACAGATGGCGCCACACAGTTTTAAATGTTGCCGGGAAAGTTAAGCAACTTGTTGCTAGACCTTTTTTTACTAACCGAAAATAAAATCTTTAAGACTGCTTTTTATTAATAAAGAAACATTCTGCGTATTTCATTTCTTCAAAAAAGAAGCAAATGGATAAAGGGATCCCGCTCTACTTCTGGCCTTATACAAGTGCCACCATGCCTATCTTCTAAATATGTTAATACTCTGTCATGTTCCTCCAAGTCCAAAACTAAGTTTTACTTCATGATGTGTACTAAAACCAAAACTACTTTTTCAGGGTGGATCAATCTACACAAGATCGGATACATTAATTAATATCAATGCTACAGTATCCGCCGGATACTTTAACAGTCTAAAATGTCTTCTCGGTCATTTAACGTATTACACCGGCGTATAAATTGATGTCAATGTTTTCAGCCGAAAATACTGGCTTAGACCTAGGTTTACCACACAAAAAATTGCGAATAGGGTAAAGATTATTCTGAAAAGGAAAATATCAATATTTTTGATTATAATTGAATAGAGTTGTATAGTGGGGTATTTGATTAGAGGAAGAACATTGTTTAAAGTCAAAATAGAATAGTGAGATAGCCGAGGCAATTAAGGCGATAGCCTATTACTGTGGGAGACCCGTTGTCGAATCTGGACGAGCAATTCCTAGCTTTTTTACATGTAGTCTGTCTCAGATATATTGAGGGTTTGTCCCTCACCACCTATCCCTGTTTAGACCTGGCCCAACTGACGATTGGCATTGGAAAAAAGCTTTCTTAGAGCCCATAGAACGGAAATAGTCAAAAATGAAAAAAAAATGTATATAGTATAGTACAATGTTTTTCAACGGGGCGATATCGCTCCCATGTGGTCGTTTTTCCATGTTGAGGGAGCGATTAGTAACAATTTATATTTTGGGGGGCGAAAAACAATTTTCTAGGCAAAATAGTAAAACATTATATTAAGAATAATTGGATATTTTATTCGTTATATCGTACAATAATTAAACAAATAACATTATACTAGTCACTAGTCTATTCAATGCAGTACGAATTTGGTGTTAGCCTTGGCCCTGGGCATCGGAATTTTGAAGTGAAGGGGGCGATACTACGTAACGGTTTTTTTTTTGAAGGGGACGACGATTCGTTACAGGTTGAGAAACACTGGTATAGTATATATAGTAACTGTTTATTAAGTATGAATCATGCTAATTTGTTTGTGTGTTTTAGGTTTACATATGCCACAGACCGAAAGGGATCATTTTATATTTTGTGGAATGGTAGAAAATGGAAGATTGAAAAACGTGTGAAATTCATCCAATAATTTTGTTTTTAATGGATTGGGACAAATGCCCTTATTGCAGAGCACACATGACTCTCGTTGAATATAACTTCGGTAAAAGAATCCCAAACATCAAAATATATCTTAAAAACAAATAAAGTTATTTTCTTTTTTATTCTTTATCTGATATCAGTGTAAAATGTATCGATAACTGAATTCTTAAATTTTATATTATAAACGAAAAAATTTTGTCTATAAAATTTGTTTTAAAATAAGCTACTTATATAATAAATTATATTTGTTTATGACTTGTAATACTTAATT